GGGAAATGCATTTTAAGTGAAATATATCTGGCCTAGAGGAGCAGATAACTTAGTTTTATAGCAATTTGAAAGTTTAGAGAAATATCCATCTTTCAGTTGCCAGAATAATAAATTAAATCAAGGGTGTAAGGAAAACAAATAGAGGAGACAAAAGAAAATAAAGGAAAAACAGGAGGTAAGTTAGGAAAGAGCTATTGCTTATGAACTAACTTCTTCCTGCAAAATGATAGGAAAACAGCAGACAGGGAAACAGAAAATTGCATCAGGCTTCAGTGTTTATGTTGCTGATGGAAATGTACAAATCATTTTCATCCTTTGCGGTACTGTCATGCTCCATCACTTTAGTCCATTTTCACCTTGCGAAGGAATTCTGAATGGGCCTTCCTTCTCTGGCAGCTAATTAATCTCTCACAAGCCTGCTCTTGCAGCCTGTCTGCCCAGGATGCTCCACACCTTAAGCCAGTGACTCGTGAGCAGATTTCTTCCTCTCTTGAGCAGTTCTTTCTTCCCTTAAGCTATGTGAAGACCTAGCTTTTCCCTCTTGTTGGGGAAACTATGTGAGCGATAATATATCATTGAAAAACTGCTATCCTCATCCTACTACCAAACATGAATACACTCCCAAATAATTGCACTGGGTTTTAATGACAGAAGACAATGTATGAATACTATAAATTATGATGTGCCCAGTATTTCACCAAAAGTGTGTATATGTATTTCAGAATGTATATTACCAGATTATATATTCTTTGTATATGTATATTTATCAGATTATCACTGTGACAAGATAAATTTATTTTATTTCTTTTCCTTAACTTAATTTTCTCATAAATCTTTTGTGGATTTTTAAAAATTTCTTTGTTTCCTTTTCTTTTAATTTCCTTTTTAATTAAAAACATTTTCCAGCATATACATAATGTATATGTGCTTTTATAATGTATAAGTGCTTTAAGATATATATGAGCTTTAAAAAGCAGAAAAAATAAAAGTTAGGATAACCACAAATATTCATATACTCAAATATATATATATTCCAAAGTATTGTAGTTCAAATATCAGAAGAATGAAGACAAGAGAAAGAATTCTGACAAACCATAATTATTTTTTTCATTGAAATTATATATATATGATGAAATGGACAGCTATTAAATGTTTAATCAGATGAGGTTTGACAAATGTATGTATCAGTAAAGCCTATAAAATATAAAACATTACTTCCCTGTGCTTTCATCTAATGAAAGCCCACTCCTTGTAGCAATTACTATTCTGGTTTCCATAGTCATAGAATGAATACTCTTGAACTTCATATGAATTGAATCATATACTATGTATGCTTATTTATCTGGATTCTTTCATTAAGTGTTCTTGAGATTAAAAGAATATTGCAATAATCAATGGCTTATTATTTTTTAATCATAACATTATGATTAATATTATGATACTTCATCTAATATGCAAGGTAATTAAAATAATATAGTTCTAGGTATACTCCTACACTTTTTGGTATTGCTATCTTGTATTGTACATCTACATACTTAATAAGCCTTCCAAATATTGATATTTTTACTATAGATTGCGTCTTATAAAAATTAAGAAAACATTATTTCATTTTTACTCTCAAGTTGATCACTTCCAATTCTTTGTTCTTTTCTGCATACAGATATTTGCATCTGGAGTCATTTCCATTCAGTCTGAATGACTACTTTTCTGAATTTCTTGTAGGAAAGATACATTGGTGATGAATTTTCTCAACTTTCATTGATTTGAAAGTTTGTTTTATGCTCATGGTTATATATATATTTGTAGTTGGAGATTGACTTTTCAGGCTGCCATAACATTATTCTGCCTTGTTTATTTGTGTTGACCGTCAGCTGCCATTTGTGTCACTGACCCCAGCTAATAATGTTTCTTTTATCTAAGGGTACTTTCAGAGTTTTTTGTTTTACATTTTGCTTTGACAGTTGGAATATGATATGCTTAGGTACATTCTGTGATTAACCTGTTTGAATTTTTCAGAACTTTTAGGATCTGTGCCTTGACCTCCTTTATTAAATTGGGGAAAATTTTAGCCATCATTTCTTTGACAATGTTTCTGCCCCTTTTCTCCCCTTTTCTCTACTCCCCTCCAAAAGCCCAATAATACACGTTATAGTGGTTTTATATTTTTCACTGATTACTGAGACTATATCCATGATTTTCCAATGTTTTTCTCCATTCTCCAAAGTAATTAATTTGCACAAATTATTTAAGAATAAATAATAGATCATTTGACGTCTTTGTCTTTGATTTACAACAACTGATTCAGGTTCTCTATATTTATTACTTTTGTTTTCCTTGATTGTGGCTCACAACTTTCTACCTCTTAATATATGTAGTGATTTTGCACACACACACACACACACACATATGTTGTGATTTTATATATATGTAGTGATTTTATATATATGTGTGTATATATGTAGTGATCATATATATGAGATATATGTGTATGTGTATATATACACACACACACACACACACACATATATATATATATGTGTGTGTGTGTGTGTGTGTGTGTGTGCGCTGGATGTTGTTAGTGACATAATTTTGGGAACAAATCCTAGTTGTCTTCCTGTAAAAGCTAATACTTTCTATTCTAGCAAGCAGTGGAATTCTGGGCAGATTATTTTTGCCCTTCCATGTTTGATTTTATTCTTTGGTAAGATAAGTCTACTTTAATTTTAAACTCAGTTCATGACCCTGACCCTTACTGCTGTGAGAGCCTTTCTGTAATCCCACCTGAAAGTCTGAGATAATCAGTGAAGCCTCTTCACTCTGGGTAACATTCAACTCCAGTATCTTCTAGCAGAGTCTGATCTCTGGTATCATTGCTAATCTCTCAACAATAGAGAAGGAAATTTCTGCTAGGCCCTGTGAAATTATACTCTGTGGAAATGCTGTCATGACCCTTGCCAAGAATTTATGTGAATCCTCATACAAACTATTGCCATTCCTAACTCAGATACCTTTCCTCAGATATTTTAAATGCAAGCAAGTCAACAGTACAGACTTTCTTTATTACTGTCCTTAGGTTTTACTCTTGAATTTGACAGCAGATCAGCAAAAGTTTTGTTTGTTTTTTTAATATTTTTTCATTGTCAAAGGACTTTTATTTTATTTAATTTTTAAATGTGGTGCAGAGGATCAAACCCAGTGCTTCACACATGCTAGGCAAGTGCTCTACCACTGAGCTACAACCCCAGCCAGCAACAAAAGTTTTTGCATAGGGCCATGTATTCAGTATTTTAGGCTGTGAACTATATGATCTCTGTTGTAACTATGCAATTCTGTGACTGTACTGGGAAAACAGAAATAGACCATGTGTAGACAAATTAACATGTTCCAATAAAATCTTATTTACAAAAATAAGCAGTTAATCTATGGATCATGGTTTGTTGACCCTGCTATATTTTGACACATCATCAACTTTAATCATCAAAATATTGTCAGCATAGCTCGATACTGAGGTAAAGGAACTATATAAAATGTCCCTAATTAACAAATTTATTGATTTTATTTCCTTGCTCCAGTTGCTAATTACTATAATACTTAGCCTTGATATGTAAAGGGGCATGCTGTTAAGTAATTTACATACATACTCATATACAAATGAACAGTAATTTCTCTTGCCTTCTTAAAAATGCCAAAATTTAATAAGGAAAGAACAAACTATACCTAACAGTCCTTAGATGCTATGCTCAAATTGATTTCTTCCTTTTTACTTTATATTTACTACTTTAAAGAATCTCAGAATGGTAGAACTGGACTGGGTCTCTGAGTCCATTGAGTTAAATTATTTCATTCATGCAAGAAGGAAATCTGCCACTGAAATTAAATTATTTATCTATGATTTGTCAAACTCAGCACTGGAATCCAATCTTTTGGCTCCCATACAGAGTTTTGCCCACAAATCTTACAATATAACATGAGGCATGACTTAGGTGAGAGAAGAACCAGATGGTCAAGAGATCAAATGATAATCATTTTAGGGATTGCATTTATATTTAGCCCTTTGTTCTCAGAACTTATTCTGTTTCTATCCTTTCTCTCTTTTTAAAATAGGTTTATTATTAAAGTTACTTAAAAGCAATCATTACAAACAAAGAGTGATTCTATTCTGTGTGTACCTTGCTTCATTGAGAAATACCCTTTCTAATTATGGCAAAAGACAAAGTGGCAGTTGTATTTTATTCTCCATCATTTCTAATAGTTTAAATCAGTGGTTCTCAAACTTCAGCATCAGAATCCCCTGGAGGGGTTGCTAAAACAGATTGTTGGGCCCCATTCCAGAGTTTCTGTTACAACAAGTTTGGGATGAGATTGAGAATTTGCATTTTGGGCACCTTCCCAAGTGATGCTGATATTGCTAGTCTGAGTAAAACACTTTCAGAATCACTGGCTCAGATTCTCATCCCTAAAGGCAAGATGCAATTTACCAGGGGAGGTGTTAATACACTAATACCAGGCTCCATCTTAGATCAATTGAAATAGAATATCTGGGGCTTGAAACTGGATATCAATATTTTCTAAGTGTCTTGGGTGATTCTAATATACAGCCAAGGTTAAGAAAAAAATAAAGAGTATGACCTGAAAAAGTATATTCAATCTTATGGATTAGTGTTAGATTTCTTTTCTTAAGACCTTTCTTTATTAGATGGAAACAATTTGTATGTAGTCATTTTATGATATAAATAAGAATCTAAAGATGACTTTACCAAGTGATTCTATAAATTGAAGGTAATTTAGATTTAGTCAAGTTGATGCTACTAATTCTGTAAAGTGTTTAGAATAAAATGTTGTTATTAAATTTCCTTTTTAACATGTACTTATAAAGGTTTTTTTCCATTTACAAAATTACATGTTATGCCTTAGATACTAAAATTGTTTTTATTAGCTTTGTATAGACAGCATACACATTTAGATAGTAAATTTTTACCTCTTGTTTTCTCTCCATACAGTGAAAGATGCAGATATACTTTGTATGGACATACAGATTCTGTGAACAGCATTGAGTTTTTTCCTTTCTCCAACACTCTTCTCACAGGTTCAGCAGACAAGACCCTCTCCTTATGGGATGCACGAACAGTAAGCAAATCATCTCCCTTTTCCCAGGTTTTGATAAGTAGTCACTCAGTCATTCTGCAGGTATTGGGTATGACTTTAAAAGGATGTGGAGGGTAAAAGTAAGTTCCTACTTACAGTGTCTAAATCCTGCCTCTTAACTGCTAGTACATAAAAGCAACATAATCATTTCATCAAATATTAATTTGATTAATTCAACAATTATATGGGATAGAAACTCTGTTGGTGCTGGTGATAAAAACAGGAAAGCATGAGGTTCCCCTCAAGGAGTTTGTCAGTTTGTAAGAAAATAGAAATGAGATTATTTTAATGAAGTGAGGTATGTGATAAAATAAGAACATACATGTGCCAGGGGAAAGCAACAAGCCTCATCTGCTGTGAGCGAGTAAGCAGCTTCCAGGAAGGCTATGTTTAAGCTGTGATTTGGAGAGTAAGGAGGGTGCACCAGGGCGTCTGGAGAGAGATGAATTCTAGGACAGGGCAGCACATGTACAAAGCCATGGAGTTGGGAGGCTGCAGTGCCACACTCTCAGAACTAAAGGAAGAAGGGAGAAATGGCAGGCCAGAGTGTACATGCATGAAGTATCTGTTTCAAATTATTTCAGAGGAATAGAAGGAAGAGTGCTGTACAAACATTGTAACCAGGTTTGCCTTTAATAGATTACTTTGATAGTAAAGCAAGGAGCTAGTCTCCTGAAGGAGCACACAACAGGCTGTGAATGGATGAGAATTTGAACTGAAGCTTGACTGTGAGATGAAAAGGAGAGAAAGTACTAAAGATAAGTCTAAGTATCAGAACTTGAGGTGTGAATCCAGGTGGAGCTCATGGGATGAGGAGGAATTTAGAGTGATCAACTTTCCTGATTAGTCTGAGATTGAGGGTTCTCCTGGGTCATGGGATTTTCATAGGTAAAATCAGACAGTCCTGGCTTAAATGGCTATAAGAATGAATTTGGTGCTAAGAAATGGAAACAGGATATGGAGACTATATTTTCTAATGATTCAGGAGAAGAGATTGTAGCTTTAGAGGTCAAATAAAAGGTTCTTTATTCCATAGGAGCCAGTATGTTTATCTATTTAGGGAGAAGAGGGCAGAGAGCAAAGAACTAAAAATACAGGAAACAAAATAGAGAGCAGGGAAGTTTGTTGAAGAATGTTACATTTGAAGAATGTTACAATTTGCAAGACAATGTATTCATATTCTTAGCAACATTTGATGAGGATTAAAGAGAAAATGACTCTAGGTGACTATCCATAACCCTAGTTCTAGTTCCAGGATCCATTAGGAAGAACATCTTATAATTTATATCATTATCTTCCCTTATACAAAGCATATTTGACATAAAGGAGTATTATGATGGACATACAAATGGTATGGGCAGGGATGCAGATTCAGTATGTGAGGCTCTATTTAGTCCACTGACGTGAATTCATTTCAGATCAGTGGGGAATAAGACGTCCTCAGCCTTATATAGTACGATAAAATAGCAGAGCAACATGTGTCTTAGTCACCAGCTTCATGTATCACAGAAATGTAGAATTCTGAGGTAGCAGAAGTCAGGGGGACATTGTGGGAAGAATGTACCAGATATGACTTAAGAAAGAGGTCAGAATGATTTGTTGTTTGATACAAAGTTCCCACATGCCCCTCCTTGCTTTAAATAGCTTAGACCCTGATGAAGGGAATTTGTTCCTGTTAATGGACCATCAATGAAAAAGCAAGATTTTCAAAGCATTTAGCCCTAAAAACTTAAATGTGGAATATATAATAAAAGTAACCGTTCAAAGGAAACCAAGAGAGAAAATATTCAGTGACCTAAATTTAAGACTCATTTTCTATTGACTTTATATTCTTATTCTTATTTTAAGTGCTGTAACTGAATGTTCTCAGAAACCATATTTCTTATTTACTTTCTCTCATGTGAAAAACTGAATCTCTGGTAATTATCTGTAAGAAAAGTTGCCTCTACTATATGTGCCTTAAATACATAAAGTTACTTATCAAGTGTGACCTTCCACCCTGATGTTGCAAAGCTCCTCCTCTGGTACTCTTATTCCCCATACTATCAGGAGAAAAGGAGGGACACAGCACAACACTATGCCTTAGCATAGTAGTGGCATTACATGTGGGTTAAATGTAAGTGCATTGGTCAATGAGTCCCAGAGATATGATTTCAAAAAGCATATATATTTTTAATTGATTTAATGGCAAATTAAAATTTATATTACTAATATTATGATGTTATTAATATTATACATACTAGCTTCATGATCATTGATACAGGAAAAGAACTCTAAGATGTTTTGATACAAATTAAATGTTATTAGTAAGTATATGGTAAATGCATTATTGATTGAAAAAAATTATTTCATGAAAATATTTTAACCATGGGGTTTAAAACATTAAATTGATAACTATGTATTATAGAAGACTACTCTGTAAAAGAGTAGTAGTTAATTTGTTTTTAAAAATTAGATAATGCAGTCTGTTAATTAAAATATTGATACAAAATTTTACACATAAAATCAACAACTCTAGAATTAAACAGAATTATTTCACCAGAGTTGCATTAGGTAGTTCTGATAACTTTGTTTCAGAAATACATTATTTATTTTAAAATCAAACAAGAAAAATCCATGAATCACTCAGTTTTTAAAAAATTCATTTTATATGTATAATTTATTTTTTATTTTTATTTTAATTTTGGTGCTGGGGATTGAATCCAGGGTATTGTGCATACAAGGCAAGCACTCTATCAACTGAGCTTGTCCCCAGCCTTTTATATGTATAGATTTTAAAGCTACCTGATATATTGTTTACATAATATGATTGAATATTTTACTAAGATTGGAATTATTAGTTGTTTTCCCAATGGATCAGGGAAGAGTTGAAGTTGATTTATATTTGTAGTTGAATATTATGAGCCATTGAAGAGGGTAACCAAGATTGCTATAGGTTTTTCTTTGTAATAGTACAAATAGCAAAATGTATTGATAATAGATGACTTTCTTTGACTTGTGACATCAACTACACCTATGATATCCTTCTTGATAATTTTAAAATATGTTAATGCCTTGATAATTGGTAAGTTGTTAGGTTATCCCGAAGGTCTGGACCTAAAGGAAGATGAATGACTTCCTTTTCTTATTAGTGAAGCAATAATGCTGAATTTTGTCATGTTGATGTGATGAATTACTATTGAGACCCCCTCTAAAATATTTTTTGATGAAATGTAAAAATGATCAGCAGATTATATTCCTATAAATTAGTTTTAAAGTTCCTTCTTCCACTCTCAAACATATACTAGTCTTAAATCACTAACTTAATCGAACAGCTTATTATGGAAGATAATGAATGTGGAGACCTCTAAATCAGTCTCTAAGTCAAATGGACAGATCAGTTTTGAATTTTGTGGGGGATGAGGAGAGAGATATAAATCTCTATAATTACAAAATAGAGGCTATAAAAGAACTTGTAGTTTGGAAACTCGTGAAATTGTTCTGCTTTATAGGGCTGCCTCTATTTTTTGTCAACATTATGAAACAGTAAAACTATTCAACTAAGATTGAAAAAAAAAAGATTGCTTTATTGTCAGAAAATTATATTTTGTATGATAAATTTAGTGAAAAATTATAATGTCCTCCCAAAAAGCAGCATAAAAAATTCCAAAGTACATGAGTGATTTGGAAACCTGCTTAAAATAATAGCAATGAGATTATTAGTCATTCACAAGTCTAATGAAAATATTAAGGCTTTTGGAATTTTTTGGAAGTAAAGAATATGTTCTCTGTATAGTAAAGCACAGAATGAGAATGAGATGAGTGATCTGCCTGTGAGCTGTGTCAGAGATGGGTGGCATTGGTCAGAATTGCTAACATTTTATCTCTTGTGACCCGACAGAGTGTTGGTGGCCTGGGTTACCTGTAGTGACCAAGCGGTACTCCCCAAACTAGCTAACTTTATGCACGGATCCAGCACTCAGCACTCTTCTGTCTTAGCTTTGACCAAATGAGCCAATAACTAATCACTGTGAGTTCCTATAAAGTCAAAAAAATATGAGCTCACCAAAAGTTAGCCCGTTGGCTCCTGTTTGTGCCTGACCCATCTACTTCATAGTCCAGCCTCAGGGTACATTAGCCCTATTGGTTTTCCCCACAGATTCTGGTGAACTCTCAGAGGAGTCTGACATTCTTTGAAGGTCTGAATGTAGAAACAAAAGCCCAGTTCATGACTTTTCTCTCAGGGTTTGATTCTGAACCTATATTTACTAGAGATCTTATGTGCCTTCACTTTTCCTACAACAGCTATATAATGCTTATTGGAATCTGATTAGGTGGGTATTGTTATTATCTTTATTTCAGAATTGAGAAAAAAGAGCATCTGGGAAGTATGTTGCCCAAATCATCCAAGTGGTCAGTTGTAGTCAGGAACCAAGCTGCCTCTTAACTGGGGTCCACCTTCTTCATGTACCTGGTCATTTCAGTGGCTCCTATAATCAACCTGACCTTCAGGTTTTTAGCACAGTAGTCTCCATTTTTTTTTCCAGTGGGGGAGTGCTATTAGCATTTGCTGTTAAACTGGCATTTCATTTATATAATAATATACATACACATATATACACATATACCACTAAAATAAAAGATGACAGGAGGATACAATTGGCAGTAATTGAAATTCCATATTGTTATTTTATGGCCTCTAATTTTGGTTGGTTGTGACAAAAAAAAAGAAAGAAAGAAAAAGAACCACTAATATTAAAATGACTCTTTGGTAAGAAAAGATTATGCTTATATTTAAAAAAAAACAGAATTTAATGATTGCAGTTAACAACTGCAACTCAAGAGTCAGATCTGTGATTGAATTTAGCAGCTATGAAGGCTGCAAATGATCCTTCATAAAGGTAGAAAACTAAAAGCAAAGTAAAGCACCACAATCTGTACCTATCAATTGGCAGATTGGATTGTCAAATGCAGCTACCAATTATGCAAGGGTATTTTTGTAA